GCAGCCGTCGAAGTACTGTAGACAATGGGTTACGCAGCCGTTGAAGTGGACAGTGGGTTATGCAGCCGTCGAAGTGGACAGTGTGTTATACAGCCGACGAAGCAGTTATGCAGCCGAAATCCTCACACAGTGCATTTGAACTGCGCTCAGTCAGCACACACGCATAGGTAACATTTGGCTAACCCAAAGCGCAGTGTAATTACGAGTACATATATCACTTTCTTTAAAATTAGGAGAAAACACCCCAGTATATTGTCATGTTTTCGTATACCTAAGCAGTAACCGGCCGGTCACGGTAGCCGAGCGGTGTAAGGCATGTACCGCCTTCGCTCGCTTGGAAACCGGGATCGTGGGTTCGAATCCCACTCACGGCATGGATGTGTAGTTTGTGTGTGTGCGTTTTTCTGTGTTTGTGTACAGGTAGAGGCCTTGCGACGAGCTGATCACCCGCCCAAGGAGTCCTACCGAATATGTAAGATCTAGAAAAACCGAAGTGAACGAAGAAGTTCATCGAGGTAGGCCTAGGCCCGCTGGGGCTGCGGTGCCAAGGAAAAAAAAAAAAGCAGTAACCGACCTCTTCTTTTTCTTAACAGAAACACGGTGTGTTTCTCAGAAGCAAAAACTGATATTGTTAAGTACCAGTGAGATTAACTTCAAGCCTTAAAAGTCAATATAAAGTCAGTCAGACTTCCCAGTAAACTGTGGAGTGCTGCCCGAAGGCTAAGCGCCACATGTAACAAAGCGTTATCAGATGAACCTCGAGACGCAACGCTCCCTCTCCCATGTCATCAAAATTCAATAATTTATAAGCAACAAACCCGTGAAATTTGCATGTAATGCGAGAGAGCAGCCGTCGTGTCAAGTCTGACGCTCCCCTGGGGTGCATAATGTAAAATTATCCATTCTTCACCGAATTGTTTCGCAATTTAACTTCGTCCACACTTCTCCCTGTCAACCTACATCCGCTCTCAGAACCAAGTTACCCGCTACAAGAGCACAGCTAGAAGGGTTGATGCTTTGTATGTTTTGAAAGCTTGTTATTATAGTCCAAAAAGGTTGCACTCCCACCCTCTTTCCTTTCATCACTTTCTCAAATTAAAATATTTCCTGACAGTCAAACTACCAGGAAACCCCTTTCCTCCCCGGCTAAGGATTCATCTTCACTGAAGTTACTTGTACAATATTTTAATTTGACCCACCTCTCTCACCCCCAATTATTAGTATCTTCTTTGTGCACTATCATCCCCTTCTCAAACTCCGTGCCCTCTCTTTCTGCTCTCTTTCCTTCTACCCAATAGCCTGCACNACAGCAGCATACACAAAGAGGAAACCACACTCAACCTAGAATTTAATCAAATGCCAATTAATTAGAGTGCAGCAGGTAGTGTATATTGACTGGTAGTCCAGGCACACCAGACCTGCTACGTAAGTTTCAAACAATTTCCGCTACACATCAGCCCAGTTCAAATGTCTGCAAGCGAAACTACACATAAAATGGAAGCATATATATGTTCATCAGACAAAGGGGGCTCTATGTCAATAGGTTACTGCACACGGCATTCCAGTGGACAAAATTTAGTGAGCGCAATAAAAACACGAGTAAAAATATGAAACAATTTTATTAGATAACTTCAATGTCTCTGTGCTAATAAAATACTGTTTGACTTAACTGCACTTTTTCCGTGGGTGGGGGATGACAGAATTGCGGTAACACGTACTTCAGTTTGGTCGGACAAGTCATTAATTAAGCACGAACAGCTCAATCAGTCGACTCTAACTCAGTCATTGACAGAGACAGCAGGGTCAAGATTCTGACCTCGGCATGTGTAAAATAACATTTGAAGATCCCATCAGAATAAAGAGAACTCCACGATGTGCTTCATTCAGTTTGGGAGTCGGCTGTACAAGTTGTGCAAGTTTTGACCAGCACTGCATTACACGTCAGGCACTAAATACAAATTTCGTGGGCTCACACACACCCAAATTTATGTATGTCGACAACCGTGTATTAAAGGACGCCGGAAAACTGATTAAGGCGCGACCATTCGTATAGATTAACGCATGGTTTCCAATACGAGTCTGTAATATGGCAAAATGTACAAGGTAAAGCTAACCCTGTAACAGGCCCTGGTGGTCAATAGGGTTGTGAGAAGCCGAGGCACCAAATCTTCTATACAATCGGCTCACAGATGGCGGTAAGGTCAGTCTTACGCGCCGGTCGTCCTTTCCCCCAGGAGTATTCCTGGTACTTATTTCTGTTAGAGGCCGAGTCGTCCCAGGACTACAGTGCGGCTGGAAGGACTAGCTAAATTGAAAAAAATCCACCTCATCGGGATTCGATTCCGAGACCAACCATATTGTAGCATAGTGCCTCAACCAACTACGCTACCAAGTGCCCCCTATAGCAAACAGTACGTGCAACTTTTCCATTCTAGGTTTTATGCTACAAGCCGGGAGGTCGTGGGTTCTATCCTCGATGAGGTCGTTGTATTTTTCAATTGATCTAATCCTTCAAGCCGCACTATGGCCCTTGGGTCGGCTCAGCCTATGACAAAAATGAGTACCATGAATATTCTTGTGGGTAATGGGCGGCCGGCGAGTAAGGCTGACCTCACCGCCATCTGAGCCGATTGTCTGTAAAATGTGGGAGCCTCGAAGTCTCACAATCCTACGGGTCTCCACGGCCTGTTATAAGGATAGCTTTTACCTTTTTATGTGACATTACTCTGAAGTGTCATCAACTTTACATTTTATGACAAATTGGGGGTGCCCGTTTGTGCATGGACCTAGGGTTTAGTTCCCAACTATAACTCTGCTGGTTTATAAACTGTGGAATGAATCTCCATTTCAATTTTATTTTCCACTTAGGTGGCACATGAATTCGAACCAAGTAAATTTTATTGACATTTTAAAACCAATTCCCTTATCTGAATAAGAACTGACAGAAGAATAAACAGTGGGAGTAACTGGATACTCTGGTCCCAACTTAACAGACAGAACATGCGTTTAGTTCGCGTGGTAACAATTCAGCATTCAGATGACGAATGAAACAAAAAACGAAATCGAAAAAAAAAACTGGTCAAAAACGAGGAAAGCGCAAAATAAGTAATTCACAAAAGCAATGCCAGAATGCTTTACAGAAACAAAACCTTTCGCGTGAAGGTTGAAGAACAAAGCCGAACAAGTGGGTTTTGTTGCCGCACGGTTGGTATTAACGAGACATGCTGAGTATCGGGGGCTTGCATATTCCAGATCTAAAAGGGTAAGAGGGAGGGATATAATTGAAAGTTTAGATGTCAATATATTGATTTCAAACAGAGCTATTGCCAGCAAATGGCCCTTTCAGGAAAGCTACGTTATACATTTAAACTATTCGAGAACATGCGTCATGTTGAAAACTTTTGGTTACAACTCAGGACGGTTGCTGCTCCGTAAAACAATGGTGAGAAACAAGCGATCCTACGTCATAATATTGAATGCGAGCCGCGTATTCCCACAAACAAAAGAAAAAGAATTAATTCTTTCAATCGATTCATATGACGTCATGTTACTACATGATTACATCCTAAGAAATTTCACCATCATATTTTCAGTTTTAATCAATATTTTATGTATAACTTTTGTTATGCACCATGCTAACTGACACTTAATATGAACTGTGTATTTCATCCGTCTCCATTTTACTACAGGTTAGGGCCGCGCCATAGCTCAAGCGGTTAGTCGCTGGCTTCCCACCGCGGCGGCCCGGGTTCGATCCCGGGTCTGGTCAAGTGAGATTTGTGGTGGACAAAGTGCCGCTGGGGCAGGTTTTCTCCGAGTACTTTGGTTTCCCCTGCCAATCTTCATTCCACCAACTGCTCCACAATCAACCTCACCTATCATCTGGGGCTGGTACAATAGGCCAGAAGTGGCCGCAGTACAAGGGACTTAGTCCCACCCCACTAGCAATAAAAAAAATTACTACAGGTTTCTTCTGCCATGTAATTTCCGCCGCTTGTCTTTATATAATCTACGTGGACTGTCTTTCTGCCTCTTCCTGTATGTAGCAAATCCTTCCACGAGTTTTTGCGTCTTTCTTTAAATTATCAATCTTCATATTTATATAATTTCTTTATAACTTCGCCTACTACACTACTACACTAACCCACTATATGGAGACGAGCCCTTCCTGAGAAGCCGCCAATTCTGCAGCTACTCAAGAACTTACCAGAATTTTACGGAACCCGAAGGTTCACTACCGTGTTCACAAGAGCCCGTCCATAATATTTCATCTTATCCAACTTAGTAGTGTCCGCCCACCTACATCTTTGTCTTCCTACTGGTCTCTTTCCTTCTGGCCTTTCCACCAATATTCTATATGCATTTCTCCTCTCCACCATTAGTACTACATGCCCTACCCATCTCATCCTTCTTGACTTGATAATTCTAATTATACTCGGAGAAGAGTACAAGTTATGAAGCTCCTCATTATGCAGTTCCATCTCCTACTATACAGTCTTTTCAACTATTCCTACATGTACTAAACATCGTCTAACATCACCTGTTCCCTTGTTACCCTTCGCTATGTTTGTTTACAATTCCGTGCTTTCTTCTACCGCTGGTGTTCATCAGCTCTACTGACGCGGCCTTCCAAACTCTTATCTCTACATGAACTATTCATGTGTACTACTAATATTACAGGTCTCACGTTTCTCACAAATTTCAGTATTCATTTTTATCTAATCTCTCACAATGGGTAAACAGCGTCCCTGAATGTTATAATTCCCGCATCTGTCCTGTGTGTCCCGTCTGTTTACAGTCAAATCATCTGAGAATCCTGCTAGGATGCAAATGCAAGACTGCAGTGTCAGGGCAAAGTGGGTAACGTCCGTGTCTTCATTCGTGGGCAGTATAAGGACCAGTCAAATATACAAAATGGACCCCAGCATCTGACTTGGAAGCTGAGCTAAGGGAGACCTAGAAAACGCCAGGTCCTTGTAGGTATGAAGTGGACTACTCACCATTTCTGTTTTCACTGTCGGCTGGTTTCATCTGTATTGGATGATGCATCTGCAAACAAACAAAAAATAAATAAAGTGAATGATACATAGCATGTTCATCAACATACAGCAAATGAAACTGGCAAGAAACTCGTAGAATTTGTCTTAATAATGCCACTGATTTTCTTCTAAGATTTTAATTCTATCCCTGCATCTTTTGTATGTTCTCATGCGAGAAATCGTAAATATTCAAATTCGGTTCCCTGTGTGATAGCTTTATTATATATAATTTTTTTTGCTACACAGTTCCATTGGATTCATCTGGGTCAGAATATGGACCAGTGGAGGGCTCTTGTGAACAAGGTATTGAACGTAAGTTTTGAGGTTTTCACGGCGATGACTATGAAGAAAGTCGTCTTCTGGGATCTGGCGCCGTGTATTCTTGGTTTTAACCGATGTTCCTCCGAAACGTCGGTTAAAACCAATAATATACGGCGCCAGATCCCAGAAGACGACTTTCTTCAAGGTAATGAACCTTCAGGTTCCATAAAATGCTGGGAAATTCTTGAGTAGCTGCACAATTGGCGGCTTCTCAAGAAGGGCTCAGCTCCATGAGTGGGTAAGTAAGTATACAGTTCCAAAGATTATATTTATATGGAAGAGAATTTCATTTTATAGTTACGTTAAATGATGTTTAACAGGAATTAAGACAGATACATATGTAAATGTCGTGTGACGTAACACCGATACAAGGTATTTCTTTCGCACATTACAACTGCATAAGAGCGCTAAACAAACACAGCATGTAAACAGTTGGTACAAGTGTTAATATTCCTCTCTCTGCTTTCAGATACAGCTCTATCTACAGTGCTAACTTAAACATGTTCCGTGTTACGGTTATATTAAACAATAAAGCATTATGTTACGTTGGCTCCACAAAAGTACACCAACATCTCTGGCAAAAACAGCAGAATTATTAAATCCCAAACATAACAGGGGTGTCAAAATGTCTGCAGCGCCAAGAAACAAACTAACACTGTTCTACTGCGCATGAGTGAGGGGAGACCAATTTCAGTGACTATTTAATTAAACTAAGAAACTAGGTCCATGGTGCAAAATATTCTTTCAAATGTTAATTGTTAATTCATTCATTCATTCATCAGTAATCTGTCAGATGACAGGTCCACAGCCTCTTCCAAAACAGTTTCTCCACTTAATGCGATCTTCTGTTTTTGGAAAGAGACTATCCAGGAATAGTGATAATGTGGTAGTTTTTCCATTTGCTTTCCACATCGCAGTACAACAGCCGTTCAAACCACTCTGGTCACGCCTGTTGCTATACGAACTTGAACCATCTCGAGCATCATTTTCTCTGTGCTTCAAGTCGCCGCTGATGACGCTGCTTCCGGCATCAATTTTCGGTGTCTCTCTTCGTCTGATGCCTACCCTTTGACCTGTCCAGCAAGGGAGGCCCTGCCAGTAGCTACGCTACCGCTGGTATAGCTCTCAGGGTCCTTGGCATACTTGGTTGTATACGCGACAAATATTTCACGCCAATTCATCTGGTCAAAAATATGCAGATTTTAAGCTGAGGATCCACTACCACACTCAGAGGATCCCGCCGCTGAAGCCTATCGAGTGTCGAGTGAGTGCACTTAATCCTATCACAACGAATTCTTCTACGATCAATTTTAATATTATTCAATGTAAGCACACATCTCGAAAGTGGTCCCTATTTTGAGATTCTTCGAGGAAACTTTTGTAGTGGCAGTCTATATTTCTTACCTACCCCTACGTATCACATTTGTCGCCCACATAATGCGCTTGATTAATGATTTTCAAAATCATATTTTATAAACCTAATGGGAAAGGAGAGTAGAGGTTATGGAGCTCTTCATTAAGCGACCACATCGATCCGTCGTCTTCTCCCTTCGATGTAAATATTCTCCTCAGAAGTTCGCTCTCCAGCATCCACGATTTCTTCTTCCATTAATGCGAGGGGAAAAAAAACACACACACACACACACACACAGCTAATTTTTTCTTACATTATAATGAATCAATACCGGGCAACGTGAGCGAGCAGAGTATGCTTGCTGTTTGCGTGCTTGTCTTACTCTCGGACCCTGAAGTTGGAGGCAGAGAGTTCCTCCGAAACGTCGATGAACTTATACCGGATACCAAGGCGGCACATCTGCGCACACAATACTCAACACCATTTACTGTTCTAATCGCCTATTTTTATAGTTGTCATTATCATTATTAATTTCATTAAAGTCCAATCCTTAATTGTCAGTTTTAACTTGCTTTCACTCCTTAATTGTGCACTGAATTCTATTAACGAGACCTAATCGCACGAAGGAAACTGATCGAATACGTGCTCCGGTTCATGACCGAACTTTACTTATATCATGTTTTATCTTCGGCTGGAGCATGAACACTCAAAAGAGCGGCACGGCACCAACGACCTCTTTGAATTACACGTGACTTCCTACTACCAACTCCGGTATAGAAAACAGAGATTAACGGCTGTGGGAATCCCCTGCGCTGACCACGCGATACCCTCTATCCGCTAAAGTTGCACTAACTTCGCCGACCAGCGGCGGTCGCTCGGTCGATATAGTTCGCTTGCGGACTAAAATCACGGAGCTCTTATTTTTTATTCTTTCTGAAAGGGAAGAGGAAATGTACGCCGTAATCATATCTGTCTGCACTTCGGTTTCTTCACCCGACCAGTGATATCTGAACCGTACTGGATCGATAGCAAATACAGTATGATAATAATGACATAAGGGCGGAAGTCGTCATCCTGCGTCGTGTGTCTGCTCAGAAAATATTACACTCGGTATGACAAGCACGCTACTGGAAGCCATCTGACGTCACATGCCTGTTGGTGGTCCACAACAGCGGTCTCCGATGCCCAACACACGCCGGTGGAAGACAACAGAATTTTGTGGTTGTCGTTATATTTACAAAATGAAGCCTAAAGGTCGCGGGTTCAAGTCCCGATGAGGTAACTGGATTTTTTTTTCAAATGGTATAATCTTTCCAGCCGCATTATGTCCCTTGGGTCGACTCAGCCTCTAACAGTAATGAGTACCAGGAATATTCTTGGGGGTAAAGGCGGTCGGGGGTAAGGGCTGACAACCTTGCCGCCATCTATGAGCCGACTGTCTAGAAAATGTGGGAACCTCAAAATCTCACAACCCCATGGGCCTCCATGGCCTGTTACAGGGATACGTTTACTTTTTTTTTTACTTACTTTAATACTAAAATTGTAACATCATGGACCCGCATTTTACGGCAGTTAGAACCGCAATCGAGCTCTTAAACTGCGATTCTTCTACTTCTCCAAACATAAACTGAAGGGTTTGAATAGGGGTGCGCTTTACGTGAAAAAGAGACGAACGGGTGCTTTGTGTATTGCATATCTATCTATAGATCTACAGCCCTTGTGGACCTTGGCCGCTTTTTCAGTTTCTTAACCTATACAGTCTGTAGGACTCCTTTGACAGGGGATCAGTCAGTCGCAAGGCCGCTACCTACACACGGAATAAACGCACACAGACATCAATGGCTCGAGTAGGATTCAGACCCACGATCCCAGAGTTCGAACGAAAGGAGATGGTTCATGCTTAGACCGCGCTGGCGCTGTGATCTGGTTGTATATTGTACATGTATCATGACATATTGAAGGAAAAGGAAAGAGGAACAGGAAAGAGGGAAGGAAAGACGATAAAAAATAAAACGCAGACGAGAAGAAACGTTATATGAAGGAAAAAATGAGTTACGATCCAGCTGATAATTTCACAATGGCGACTGTACGTAATATCACCTTGTGGGATGTGACATGTATTCGGTAGAACTTCATGGTCGATTCAGAAAAAACGTACTCCTTCCATTTTGTGGGTCGAAGAGAAAGCGAAGCAAGCAACATCACGAACTAAGCAGTAAGCCTGAATCAGTTACAGACCTGCGAAGGAGCCCAGAGACAGCCAATAGGAGCAAGAAGAAGTGTAACAACCGTGTACTCTGGCCCTACAGAGCAACTAAGTTTATCGTATAGAAATACTGGGTTTTCGGACTTTGTCCATCGTCCGGATTCTAAATAACTAAGAAAAACACGACGTTTCGGAAACTGGAACTGTTTCCGTCCTCAGGTGAGGGAAGACACCTACTCTGTTGGGTCCCTTAGAAAGAGTTAGCCTGAATCACTGGACCTCAGGCTCCTCATTGCTGCTTGCCCGATTTACTCTTCGACCACGATGAGGACGGAAGGAGCAGGTTCCTCTGACTACAGCGTGTCACATAACGGATGGTAATCTTCAAGACAGAAACAGAAAACGAAAAGGAAAAAGGCAAGATGAAAAGTAGGAGAAAATGAAGGAAATGCGATAAAATGACTCGAAATATTTCGATGCAGAAAGTGTTCAATAATATATAAGACTATTATTTTGGACACTGCCAATCAACTTAATTTTCTCTACAACACACACTGTTCCAAAAATTAGATGTATTTCCGACACCATGCGTAACGAAAGAACGACACTTGAAGAAGAGATTTCTACTCAAGTGGGCCCTTAGAAAGAGCCCTCGGTCTGACAGGGCCACCTCCATGTGGCTCTCTCCTCCCTGACATTAATGGTGAAAACAAATGCAGTATCCGAAAAGCTGGTCTGAAAATACCCAAGACGGAAGACCGTGTCCGAAATAATAATCTTGCTTACTGTAACGTATGAATAGATGTATCAGTTTTATATAACGTGGAGTTCTAAAATTTTGGGCACTCCTGCGGGGGAGGGGGGGGGAACAAGCGCTTTCTACTCAAATTGCTCTCTGGGGACGAGAAGTGCAGCAAACGAGTTCTGCGTATCTGCTAACCCAACAGCTTTTATTTTTAATTCCTTAATAGACGTTTTCGGTTCGAGAACAAGTTGGTAATATTGTATGAATGGTTCAGTTCCACACAGCCCCGAGGATGTAAAGTGAGAGGGGGTGCAGTTTTATTCCATAATAAATTGATTCTCTCCTCTTGCACGAGTTTCACAGTACACGTGGAAATACTGTCCC